ATAAACCACACTGATAGTTTCCGAGAGTTTGCACACCGTGCGGGAGAAACACAAATCACCCCAGAGCTCCAGCTTCCTATGCAAGCTAAGGAGAACTGGAGGTGCTTGGGTTTCTTGAAACCCAACACAGCAGCTTCACTGAGATACCTTATTCATTTCTGGTTTCCGCATAAACTCTGCTACTAACCCAGGGGCAGTTCACAGTGTTGAAGCTCCGAGCCCGTTTTGGATGAAAACCCAAAGAAAACCATGCTACCTCTTGGCTGTAATAACCTTTCTTATTTTTGGAAGGAGGTTGCTGGACTCACGCATGCACCCCAGTGGAGCTGCACCCTGCATAAGATCTGACTCTATATCAGTGAAAGCAGGTGGCATCTGCCTTTAAGGTTAAAGCTACAGAGGAGGGGCTGTGCATGCTCTGTATCAAACCCAGGTCTTCCTTTCCTCAGGAGCTCGTGTCTTTTCCCCAGCAGTAAGTCAAGCCTTCGTGGTTTGGGTTTAGCCCTTTCTAAGCAAAGTTGTTGGCAGTGAAAGGTGGCTTTTTGGGTAAGAAGCGTTGCAATAGTTGAGTTTAATAGTTTTCTGTCATTGTTTTCTGGTGTGAAAAGTGGTTTAGGTTGTTTTGTTGCTTTTCTTTAATGTCTTTGATGTGAAGGTTGGAAGGGAGAAAATGTGGTGAAGAGTGGAAGCATATGCTTGGAGTGAGGTAGTGGGAGCAAAAATGCCTTGTTTTCTCTTCTGTTTGCCACCAGTTTATGTAATGTTGGGCCAAGCAGTCAGGGCATTTTTTCCACCTGTGTTAGGACCCTTGGCTCCAGGGAAAGGTAACAGCAATGCAGATGGGCTAAGGCTTATGAAAGACAAATGCTGTGCTTGACAGGGGTGGGGTTTTTTTTTTGATTGTTGGGTTTTGTTGGGGTTTTGTTTTGTTGGGGTTTTTTTTTGTGATGTTTAACATTCCCAGTCTTCTGGGATACTCTGAAATTGAGTGCTGTGTGAGCACAGCTCCAGGGTCATGTTGCTCTCATTGCCGTATTTTGCAGAGATCTCACTCATTGGTGTGATGGCAAACTGAATCAGCTGGGATCCAGTCCTACTCGGTGGGCTGTAACACAGCACTTCTGGGGAAATGATCAGGAGGCAGCAAAACAATCTGTGTGCCCAAGGCTTCAGCCTACCAAGTGAATCTGGAGAAGTGCTTTCACCTGGAATCTGGACTGCTCTCACTTCAGCACAATAAATAGGATGGAGCTGAGCTAGACCTTAGTGGGAGTGCTTTGCTGGCTGCAACCTGTTCTGGGATTCAGTGATTCAGGAGCAGTGTCCCAGCACTGTGCCAGGAAAACCTGTGCTCTTGGTGAGGTGCTGCTTTTCAGAAAAGATTTAACCTGCTATTTCTGTTAATTAATAATCCCCTGGTGGTTTTTAAAGGAGGGGTTTGTGGGTTCAATGTCTTATTCAGCTTGCAGTTTGATGGGGGCTGTGAATCCCTCTGTAGTTCTAACCCGATGCAGTTAGTGCTCTCTGGTTGTGGCAAGCTGCCTACCAACTATTTCAGCAGTTAATGCAGGGAATTAGCTTGTAGAGTTAAAGCAGAGGGCAAGCTAGACAAGACTTACTGCCATGCTTTGTCCCGTCATAGTCAGTAGTTTGGTATAATAGGCTGTGTTCAGTAGTGTTATCAGCTATGATGTGCTTTGACATGAGTGGTTATGGGTAAAAGGGATGTTGTTTAAATGTCTGTTAATAAAAAAAGCAGCTGGTAGGAGCAATTTGAACAATGCAAACTTGTAGCTAGCAAACTGCTAGCTTGTGATTAACTTTAGGCACTTGGGAATTATTTTACTGAAGCTAGAGCGTCTGCTGATGTGGGAAAAGGCAATTAACTAGAGTAGTGAAATTTGTGCTTAGATCTTGCTTAGGTTGTGGCTGCTATTTTCTCGTGAAAGAGCAAATTTGGGCACTTAGTTATGCTGTTTAGTAGACAGAGGCTGCTCCTCTGTGCTGAAGGCTGTTTGTTAAGGAAAATGGCACTAGGTTTAGGTTTTAAGATCACAGGGAAGGAGGCGGTTTAGCTTGCACGTAGCTTTGTGCTGAGCTGAAGTTGGTTTTCTTGGGGCTTGACAGCTCTTTCCCTGAGAGCAGGGTGCACCAAACTGAGTAAAAAAGCAATGCTCACTACCTCTGTAACACTCTAGCCTTCTAACAGATGCCTTGCTAAGGTTGGCCACCTAATCCTGCAGCCTCCTTGGAAATAGTGCTGTATGGGTAGTAAAGGTGTTGCAGAGTGTTTTGAAGGAGTCTCTCAAATTTCGCTTCTGTGACAGCATTAACCAGGGAACTTCTTTTGCTTGGTATGGGGAAACATGCCTTTTTGGCCGTCAGGTAAAAACTGATCATGCTTTTCTTAGAAACAGTAAGCCAGGAGTTAGGTTGGGTACAGGGATAAAGATGACACAGCTGGAAAATGCTTCTCTCTGGAGAAATTTGGAGTTGTGTTTAGTACAGGAATACACCGGTTGTGTCCTTAACTGGTGTGACTCTTTCTAACAGCTCTGTTAGCTGAAGAGGTGTACAATAACAAACCTGCCTTTATCAGACTGTGCAGCTAATATCTCCTTCCTTTCCTGTGCTGCAGGCTGTGGGCACTGTGAAGAGTGCTCGGTTGGGGTAGGTTTATGATAAGCAACTTCTGCTTTGCTGCTGAGTGGGACTACAAGGGCCAGGAGAAGCAGGGCTGAACTGGGTTGCTTTGCCTTCTTGAAACCTCGGACTTTGTGCAGTTGTGAACCAAAGCTGAGGCATGTCATGACAGGCAGGAACATCATTGCACTGAGGAAAGAAGGTCTCTGAGGAAGGTCTGTTTTGTAGTAACTCATTTTTGGTGAAGTTGGTTCCTGTGTACATAGGGAAGAGCTGGTGCAGACAGTTGTTGTTGCTACCTTGGAATTAATTCCTAAGAAATGATTTTTAGTGTTCAAATCAAGGGCAGTTGTGATAAGTGGTAAATAATTGCTAAAAGCGAGCACTGTGATGGCTTTGAAGAACCCATTGTGGGTGTTCTCTGCCTGTTCCTCGGACGTTAAGACCGGGTGCAGGGTACCGAGCAGTGCCTGGCGTCCGCGGGTTTAGTGGCAGAGTGGGTTGGGGAGCATGCACTCCCCATTCCTCTCCTACAAAGGTTGTGATAGCGTTGGTTTGCAGCTTATATAGCAGTCTTTAGGCCAGATCTGTTCTTCTGGGTTTCAGTATGGCACTCTTGAAAGTGCCTTACCAGACTGAAAGCCTGAAAGGAGTAATTTCTGGCACTTTGTGGGATAACTGCTGTTCTCAGAGGATTTGTGATTATTTATTCACATGTAATGTGGGTATGTGCTCACATCTGTGAGACAGAGCTATTGGCTATGACACTTCTGAATTTTATTTTTGTCTCTGGCTGTTCATGAACTTTTAAAGGATGTTGGGGGTTTTTTGTTAATCACAAAAAGGATGAGTAACTGAAGTGATACTTTCACCTATTTTGAGGCATGCTCAGCTATGGCTCTGGGGGTTGAAACCACTTTGATTTCTGTTAGCTTAGGAAAACTGAACTTTCCAAAGAGCATGCAGTTCTGTGGGCAACAGAGGTGAGGAAAGCCCTGCTTTTTGCAGACCAGAGTCATCCTCAAAACATAAGAAGCCATACAAATTCAGCAAAAAGAGCTAGATCCCTCTCTGACAGCAGCCAGAAACTGATGCTCCAGGTAAAAGTAGACAAAAAGAACAACTGTAGTGTGATACTCCCTCTGAAACACTCTTTCTTAATTTTGGCAGCTTAATAAATTAGGGTCTTCCATGCAATTTGTTTAGGCCATTGTGTTAAACAGCATCAAAATGTGCCAAACCAAATGTTAGTCCAATTCTCTTTGGAATCCATTTATAGCCCTGGCTCCTGCCACAGCCATTCCCCTGGCAGGGAGCACAGTGGTTCAGTTGCATTGTGTCAAAACAACTCTTTTACATGAAAATTTTGCAGGGTGCCCCTGCCCTTGTAGCAGGAAAGGCAGTCACCTGCCTCGTACTCTGATTAAGTGGAACTGAGGGTTTTTGTCAACTGCAAATATACTTGAGAAATCCCCCCCCCCACTTACATCCTTGCAGCCGTTGAGCATTTTGACATGGGTGTAAAAGCTGCTGCGTTTGAATTTAGAAATTGGCCAGTAGGATGAGAATGTGCAGCTGTGGAAGGCGCGAGTGCTCCGGCTTCGTCACTGCTCCTCTTGGGCCCACCTATTTCTGTGAGGCTTCTGGGAGCTTAAGGGGATAAAAATGGCCAAGGTAATTAGCAGATCTGGTGGAAATCAGCCAGTTGGGCTCAGAAATTACTGGAGGTGAGAAGGCAATAGACAAGCAGATATAATCTGATGTGATGGAACTTATCTCCATAGCAAATAAAGCAAAAAGAAGATGATGATATTATTATTATTATTATTATTATTAAATTTAAAAAAATATATACATATTTTAGTCAAAGACCTCAGCTGCAGTGGCTGAGTGTAGGAGAAGTCATCTAAATCATCCAAAGGCATGAAATCCAGAAAGGCAACCAGCCAGGGACAGTGGAATCTCACACTGCTTAGATGCTTCACCTGCTGGAAAGACTACCTGCTTTATATGGAAAGTTGATTATTTGGGCGTAAAATGGAAGGTGGCTTTTTTTTTTCCTGTGGGATTCTTATGACACAGCATCCCAGTGGACTCTGAGGGATATTTAACTTATCGGGCAGGGTGGCCAAATTCTCTCCCGTCTAAATACAGCATCTGCAGCAGTGTGGAATGTGTGTTGTACAGCTGTGAATGTTCCAGGCATTCAGCGTGTCTCCTTTTTCACACAATAGCTTCTATTTATGGGTTTTCATCAAGTTGGGCTCATGCATTCAACATATCTTTGTGTGTGTGTGTTTTTCTTTTTTTTCTTTTCTTTTCTTTTTTTTTTTTTTTTTTTTCTTTTGTTTTTTAAGGTTTGTAGAAACTCCGAGCCACTTCTCCTGGAAGGAGAGTTACTACCGATCAGCCATGTCCCAGAGCTCACAGCCCAGGGAATTCCTCAGCCCAGAGGTGCTCCAGCATATCTGGGACTTCCTGGAACAGTAAGTAGCCCTTACGTGGAACCTGTGGAACAAGGTGTTTTGGGACAGGATGCCTCTAATTAGCCTGCTCAGGGGACTGATGCTGGGGGTTTTGGAGTCTTCTGTACCTGTTGATTAGAAGATGTGGGTGTGAGTCTGTGAAGACTGACAGCTCTTGAGCTTTCAAGAGGTTCTACATCCAGGCTATGGGGAACAGATGCAGAGATCAGCAGTGACACTGACTCTCTTCAAGACCTTTTGTTGCTGAGCTGACTGCTTTCCAGCAGGTGGATGGTTGGCATTTTCCCCTAAGGAAATGGGGTCATTACTCTGTGTCCAGGCTGCATGTTTTCCTCTTTTGCTGATGCCAGGGAGGGAGAGGAGGTGGAGATGGTGCAGAGTTCATCCTGTCAGGTCCACTGAAGGAAATAAAACTGATTCTGTTCCCATTCCTGACTTGCAGTGACTGATGCTGAGACAGTTACTGCTATAAATCCTCCATGAGTTCTGTCTTTCAGTGATTTAACTCCTGTGCTCTTACCTCATTTTTACGGTCAGGCAAGTGAAATGTCCCTCCAGGCCCTGTCCTGTTCAGGGGCTGCTGTTAGCATAGTGGGTGATGAGGTAGTTGTTCATTAGTACTTACTTACTTTGTCCTGAGCCTGGTTCGTGGTCATGCCTAAGTCCTGGGTGACACCCTAGCATGGGGTGAGGGGGGGTGGAAAACAGAATTTGGCTAACTTTAATTGCATCGCTCTGTTCTTTTCAGGCCAATATGCTCGGTTCAGCCGATCGATTTAAACTTCATCGATGGCCCATCTGAAAATGGCCCTACAAACAAAATAGAGATTAGCATGGACTGCGTCCGGGTGCAGGACACGGAGCTGAATGACCCAATGTGGGTGAGTAGTGAGAACTTCCTTAACCTTTGGGGACAGATGGGGAGTTTTTGCAGGAGCTATACTTGCTGCGTTGCCCCAGGGCCATCTTCCCTCTCTTGGCGGAGGAGTTGTGGCCACTGCCTCTGACCAGGGAAGTTCCTTCTTGCTTTGCCTGTTGTGTCCCACCCACAGAAGCTGGTTGGGAGCACGGCTCTGCCAAGTGACTCTGGTGGTGGTGAACAGTGTTTCTGTACACGTGGCTGAACTGGATGGCATGTGACCCATGGAAAGGCATCGCTCCTCTGTGCCTCCCTGGGGCTGTCAGGAGAAGCAGGCTGGCTCCTTTACCTGCTCCTCCTCTCCTGCTGCAGCAATGGCAGGAGAGAGGGACGAGGCATCTAAACAGGCAGAAGAACTGAGGAGTCTCTTGCCCTTGCCTGGCCGCTCAACCATCCCTGCTCACTCTCTGCTTGGAGCTAGTGTATGTGGCCTCAGGGTTAAAATAGTTGGTATTCTGGGCACAGTTGCAATTTTGCTGATCAAGGGCAGGAGTTCTTCACTGGTTTTTCTTCTCTTGAAGGTCAGATATGAATGAAAACTTGGTTTCAGACCATGTTTGGGTTTTTTTCCTACTGTGTCTCCAGATAGGCAAAGCCAGAGAGTGTTCGTAACAAGTTTTTGCCATGGGTGTCTCACCAGTGGCTCAAGACTGGAATGCAGTTGAGGCATTGGTGGTTGCTGGTTCATTGCCTTTGGCACAAACTGACCAGCTCTTTCTTAGCAATAACTCTGGTGAAGAAGCCAGGTGCTATTCTTGCAGGCTGGAGCAGGAGGTATTTCAGGAGTTCGAGCTTTTCGTGTCTTGTTTCTGTTCTTCCTGGGTTTTGTATGCTTTGGGGTAAAAATCATGCATGGTTTGAAATTTGTGTGGGGGTCTGTAAATTTTCTTGTTCCTCTGTGTTTCCATGCTGAGAAACTGGGTCAGTTAATTCTTTGGTTAATGAACCACCATTTTTAATGTGCCCAGCAATGGTGTATTGGTGGTCTGCATCCTGGCAGTGTTTGTAACCTGGAGGATCACATCTGCAAGGAAAGAGCTCCCAGGTCACACTGGTTGCAGACCCCAGTGACAGAAGGTTTGACCTGTTACTATTGCTCTGGTGTGACTGCTGGGGAGACTGTGGTGCTCTTCTCTTTCCTTGCAAGATTGCAAAGGGTAAAAAGGGCACTCTGAGGTTGGGTATGTGCTTGGCTAATGTGGGGTATGTGCTTGGCTGCAGTGGTGAAGCTAATCCAAGTGCACAAGGAGAGGTGACTGACATCAAGTCTGGTTATCTTTTGCTTGATTCTGTGGTTGGGTTGGGAACAGAGAGGTGGTGTGCAAGCCTTTAATCAGCATCTGGATCTTGGCTTTTTCCAACACCATAGTACAGCTCCAGTAAAATGTTGTCTCTTCAACAGCTAGTCCAAACATTCTCCATGTTTAGCAGGGCTCCTAATTTTCAAAGTGGGTGGTAGCGTTCTGTTTGAACTAACTCTGTCCTATTAAAAAACAATCCCCAACAGTTTAAAGGTCATCAGCAGAAACTTTGCTCCTTCCACGTTCAAACCTGGACTTGCTGCATTGAGTGCTAGCAAAGCCTCCCCATTTCCAGTTCCTCTGAGCTGTCCGCAGAGCCCTGCGGTAGCTGGCTGGCTCACTTGAAGCCCTTGTTCAGAGTCTCTCTCTCCAGTCTGTGGTACAGTGAAATATGAATAGAAAATCCCTTCTTGTCCTCTCTGAGTACTGCTGAAGTGAGCACTGGGGCTAGGAGAGGAAGACAGGCAGCTTTTGCTATGCAGTTACCTCTTGCTTATGATGGGTTTGATCCCAGCCTTGCAAGAGGCATTTCTAGAGAGGCTGAGATGCACGGTGGCTTCTTTAAAAAGTGTTTTTCACTGACATGACAAGCCGAAGGGGGAGCAGGGAAATTCCATCCCATCCTCGCCCTTACTGTAAGGCAGCGGCTCGGAGTACATTAATGTATGTACATTAATAAATGTTCCAGTTTGTCTTCAGTGGAAGACAGCACCTTCGCTCAGTTGAATGCTGGACAAAAGCCTTTACAGAGCAAAATATGCATCGCAAACCTGTGCAAACAGCCTGTCTTTTAAAATGAGGAAAGCTCTTTTTACTCCCCTTACCACCACCACCACCTCCCTATAAATTTGCAAACATCCCTGACAGGTGACAACTCCCCCTTGCAGAGAAGTCTGTGTTTGCTTTGCTGTTTCTGGGGCTCGCAGCCGCTGCAGCTTGTGCTAGCAGAGAATGTGTAGCCTGGGGCAAGGTGTTTGCTGTTTGTCGGCTTTAATCTGAAATACCTTACAACCCTCTTCCCCTCCAGCTTCTCTTTTCCTTTGGATAGCTTCGGGGCAAGAGCTCCCCTTGCACCTGTCTCTACTGTAACCTCAGCCGTGTCACTTCTAGACACTAGGTGCTGCACGCAGCTGATTGCAGCGAAGAGTTGAAGAGGGCAGATAAACACAAAGGAATGCAGCAGAAACAGAGGGGCCCTGGGAGATGAACAGTGAGATCGAGGCAGAGTGCTTTTTATTATTAGATCTGTCTTAGGAAAAGAGCAAGGCCAGTTTTTCTCCAAAATGTACCACCATGTGAGATTTAAATAGGTGCAAAGCAATTAAGACTGGTTTATTTAAAGAAATTGTCCTTATGTGGACTTCAAGGCAATCCCAATCAGCCTTTAAAATAAGCTCTGCACCTTCTTGCAACTTATGGCTGAAAAATGAAGCTTTCAGCCCTGCAAGATGTCCATCCTTGATCCCAGGAGTTGTGTCAGTGAGAGCTGTGATTTTTGTTTTGTTTTGTTTTTAATTATTATTATTTAATTTGGGGGGGTACAGCTGCCAGTTCACAACAGAGCTGGCAGTGGGGAAGGAGCTACAGTGTTCAGAGCAGTGCCTGAAGAAGCTGTCCCACTGGTGGGCTGGAAAATGAGCGTGAGTTCTGCCCTGCTGAACACCCATCAGTTGTGTTCATTGCCTTGAAAATGCAAGTATCTGAGGAGAGAGATGGAGAAGGATGTTGGCTGACAAGGAAACCCCTCTTGTTTGAGCTACAGCTCTGTCTCTTGCTGAGCCAAAACCTTGCAGTTCTCAGACTCTTGTTTTTAAGGAAGAAATATTCTCCCTGTGTCCCATCTAAGAAGGGGGTAAGAGAAACTGGTGATCGACACTACCTTGGGATGAAAAGAGCTGGAGGGGACAGGAAGAGGGTTTGTGGGTCTGGTGTAACATTAGACAGTCAGCAGCCTTCCCTGGCTGTGTGCCTTGTGACCGGCTCTTTCACAATGTCCTAGGTGGCCCATCTGTGAGGCTGCCGGCTGTGCCTCTTCCTCTCCCATGGCATTAACCACAGTCACGCTGGGAAATCCCAGCAGAGATCTGCCTTTTTGCATAGCTGGAGTGAGGGGCTGGTGGTCCCTGTGGGTGTGGAGAACGTTTAGTCTCTGCCATGGCCCTGGTGTGGGAAGGAGCTGCAGATGGCCAGGAAGGTAAGTTGAATGTGTGTCCTTGTGGGCCACCTGCCATTCGTTAGGCTCACCAAAAAAGGTGGTCCCCAGCCTCTTTCCTGACCAAAAATGTAGCCAGCAACTGTGGGGTCTGTGGTGGGGTGGTGGCCAGCTCCCTGCATTCAGCTGGTCTCCAAGGCTGTATCCTGCAGTGCTAGAAATGCTATAGGTATTTTCTTGGGTTTTTTTTTCTGACTGACTAAATACCTTGGAGCTACAGGGAGGAGGGGTCCGGAGACTCGTCTCTAGGAACGAGCATGTGGCAGTGCAATAACCCCTGCATTGCCCTGGAGCCTTCACAGTGTGTTGTCAGCCTGCCATACCAGGTGCAAAATTGCTTTCCTTCACCACCCCTCAGAAGTCCTTTAAACTGCTCACTGATGCTAAGATATGCTAGTCTGGACCCAAACAAAGCTGCTTTGGGCTAAGGACTTCAGCGGGCAGCATCCTGATAAAAGTGTTATTTGAGGGGCTTGCAGAGTCTGGAAGTCTTCTACCACCATCCCAGCAGTCTGTCCAGGGCTCCGGGAACCTTGCAGGCAGGAGCAGGAGTGCTGTCCCCAGTGATGGAGCAGCTCATCCCCCTCCCCCTGTACATACCTTATTTCATGCCCCTGAGCGAGCTGTCCTCTGCAGCCCCTTGCCTAACCAGTTCAGTGGAATGCCTTTCCCCAGACAGTCGCCGTGGTCAGAGTTTTCTTAACCTGGATCTGTCCCTCCCCACAAAAGGGAGAGAGAATTCCTTGCCTTTTTTTTTTTTTTTAACTTTGTCCTTCCTCATCTTCTGCAAATCATCGTGGGGATTTGCTGTGTGTGGCTTGGTTGGGCACTGCTGAGCTCCTGGTGGGGTGGGTTTCTGCCCTGGGGATGGTGGTGTGAGTGCTTCAGACAGGGCTGCATCCTTTTGGGTTTGGATCCTCAGCTTCATGGGCTGTGGGCGTCCCAAGCCTGGCAGCTACAGAAATTTTAGAGGTGCAACGTGTGTTTCATAGTTTTAAAAGTGAGAGGTTCAGCTCTGTAACTTTGCTGTTCTCCCTTATACACAGAGGTGGAGATAAAACTAGGCTGTAGGAGAGACTGGATGTGGCCCATGTGGGATATGGAGGTGTGGAGGCCATCGACCTCAGCCCTCACACCAGTGGTGCATCTCAGAGTTGGTATTTGATGCTTCCCAATGAAAACAAGAAACCTTTCCCAGGTTTAACCTTCTGTAGGCTTGTGGAGGAGCCACCCCAGCCACCTTGCACAGCATACCTTCCTGTGCTGCAGCCCAGCGAGCTGGAGAGGAGCAGGGCTGAGGCCCCTGCAGAGCTATCCTGGCCCAAGGTGGCTGCTGGCTCTCTTCTGCATGCTCTCAGACTTAGCACTGTGTAAATCAGTTCAGTAAGTCGTATTTGGTGGCCATGCACTGAATTCCTGGGTCCCTGGGAGCCCATCACTTGGGGACTG